GGGGGGGGGGGGGGGGGGGGGGGAGGGGGAGACATGAGTGGAAGAGAAGGTTTTAATTGTGAAGTCTATAAGAACATTTAATAAGTAAATAAAGGTGTCCACTTTGAGTGGGTGGACCTCCAATTTTTTTTTCGAAGGTGATTATTCCCCTAGAAATTTCATTAGTTCAATATTGAAAGTTAATTATAGGAAATTTTATATGGGCTGCCAACACTGAACAACTACTTAATCCTAGACAACGAAGGAAACAAAATGCTATATCTCCAAGGTAATTGAGACTAGGATACTGATTGCCTAAACTAACATTAACAAAAATAGTACATCATGACTGAGTATGTTTGTGACACAAATAAGCTTTACACCCTCAAAAGAAACTTCTAGTGCTGATGTGTATCAGTTTGATGGTTATAAGGATATGACGCAGTGTATTAATGGCCTCGGATTTCATTGTTTAGTAGCTGACACACCATGTGACGATGGCTGGCTGACACACCATGGCACAAAAGTGATGTAAAATAATTAACTTCTGATGAAGAAATGAAATTATGCTGCTACAAAAGGTGGCCAGTGCACAGGATGATGAATCATGGATGTGCCACCATATTTTTTTGGTGCTGGAATATACAGTTTAGGTATTGAGGGTTAAATGCTTGGTCGAAACCTTTTTATTAATGGTTTTAAAAAACTGAATATATGTTTGGCATGTTGAACTTTTTTGTCATTTTCATAATTGACTGCTTGGGCTTGCATTTTGCATAATTAATGGGGCCAAACTATGATAAACTATGATCATCAATCAGTATGTCTAAGAATAATTTACAAAAAACAAATCTCGATACAAAAAAAAAAAGACTACCCTCTTCTGTCAGAAACTGACTGTCTTAGAATAATTCCATCGAACTTGTATAAAAGAGAGAAAATCTCATCAACCTTCCTATCATTAACATTTATAGTGAAATTATTATTCCAGTGGATTGGAAAAGAAGAGGTAATCACCATTGAAGCAATTGTAGTAATATGAGGAATGGGACAACCGATGCAGTTGAGAAAATAACAGTGAAAAGGGCCTAGCAGACCTCAACGCATCTTTCCAAAATTGGATCATTTCTCCATTTACAACGACTGTGGGAAACAAAATCATTCATCTGAAAATGAAATAGATTTTCACAAAATAGAGACGTGTAAAGTAGAGATGCTTATTATCCCAACATTTGTTAAAGCGTGGCTACCATAGTTTAATGCTTTCTATCATTCTGGATCCTTTCATTTTCCCCTTTTTTGCAAACATTTTCTGCACCTTTTGTTCGTGCTTTTGAATATTTGTGATCTTCAGTTATTTAACACTTCCTGTTGATGTCAATAATGCAGTCTGAGAGCGCACAAGGAGAAGCTGCTGCAAGTGCCATGGGTGGTAGAGGGCGGGGTGGAGCTGCTTTCCGTGGTCGTGGTCGAGGGATGCGCAGACGGTAAGCGGTTTTGGATTCTAGAAGTGCCTTTTGGTTTGTTGGCCTGTGTTCCACTCATGGTTGGGGTTCCAATGAGAAGGCCTGTAGTCTGTGTGTGAATCCTTTTGTAATTCCAGTTGTTTGCATTGGTGAGGTTTGTACTTAAAATGTTCACCTATGAACTTTCAACAAGCGAACTTCAAAAATTTTGCCCTGCCTGTTTCTTTTGAGTTGGACTTCTCCCTTGCTTGTGTCTGCATCATGTTTAAATAGAACTACAAATGTTCTCTCTCTCTCTCTCTCACACACACACACTTTTCAGGTACTAAACAATGATGTATTACGTTGCTTGTTTCGAATGTTAGCATCTTATGGAAAGTTGTGTTATAACAATAATCATGTCCCTTGTACGAGTATGCAAAACTTTGACAGTGGTCTAGTCCAATATTTGGTTTGGGTCCTTCTACAGTACCGAAATATGTTTTTTAGTGGACACGTGTCATATAAGGAAGGCCTCTTCCTTTTCGGTATGATACCGAGAAGCAGGGTGGCGGTACTGAAGTGTAGTCCTTTGTTTTTAAGCCTGTTCTGTGCATTTACTGCTTTGAATTCAGAGAAACACATTTGTTATCATCTGTACTCTGGAGCTCTGTTTAATGTTGAGATATTCATACTTGATATATAAAATGTAAGATTCCCTACATGGTATTTGGTTGAACTGCTTATTTGTGGCCAAATAGTCTGAGTTGCCTAAATTTCATGTCTTGTATCGGTTGCTTATTGAACACTGAATTGCGTGAAAATAGGATATTCTAAATGTGCGGGTCAAAAAGTTTTATATATCGTTCTTAGTGGAAAAAAATGTGAATGAAAGATTCAACTGGATTAAATTTGGTCCATGAATTTAAGACATAGTGAGAATTTTTAATCTCGAGACTTTCAATTGATCCTTTCCGGATAATTAGATGGTCTTCTTGAACAGGCCTTTTATTTGGTAGGTAACATCGATAAAGTTACCGCGAAGGCTAAGCAATTTGAAGAAATGATCTTGGTTTAATTCTCTTTCCTTGTATCTACTTCTCAACCAGCCAAAAAAATGTAAAAAAATAACGATGTATATAAAAAAAATGAAGGTCATTTTACCCACTTGTAGGTGGTATAACCATTGTACTCTCGATAAAATCAGTTGATTAGGATAAAATTGTATCCTTTAGGAACCATACATACATCTTTTGACACATACAATTCAAAAAAAAAAATTGCGAAAAAAAAATTAATCAATGTGTAAGGCAATAACATGGTTGGGGAGCAAATGTGATTTGCAGTTTCACGCCATTCTCAAGTTCAGATCAAGCAAACGGTCTGTTATGGTTCCGACCGATGAATTACAAAGATATCGAAACCACGTAGAATGCCACAAAAATAAGTAACAGCTACATATCCAAACAGAGTGCCACACAATAACACACCCAAATAACTCTTAAAAGCTAGTGTCCGGAGGTAGATTCCTCTATAAGGAAGGATGTTGAATCCATTATTATAGTTAACTAACAGTTTCGTAGGCTAAAAAATATAATGAAGAAACAACAGAATCTTATGTTCGTAGTAGTGGAAAATAATGTAGCAGACACTGCCAGAGGCTTAGAACTGGAACTGCATCTCGGAAGTGTATCCAAGAGCATCAACGTGAGCAGCCATCGCTTTGTTCATGGGTGGTGGACCACACCTCAGTATCTGCAAGATTATTGGCAATTAGTCGTAGTTCCAAATTTGGTCGTGCTAATTTGTGGACATGCGAGTGTGTGTGTTTGAGAGAGAGATTGTACTTTAACATCAGGCGCAGGTGAGGGGCAATGTGCTTGAATCATCTCCTTGGATACAAACCCTACTCCACCAACCCATCCTTCTGGTGGCTGAGGATGGATTAAAGCAGGTTGCATTCAGTAAGAACATTAAGCATAAAAAAAACAAAATCAAGTTTCAGAGTGATTTTAGGAGGAATAAAAAACAAACAAAAAAATAATAGTTTTCCGCTACGTAAACACCGTATAATGTAGCACACAAAAAATAGATAGATATTTAGGGGACCAATTGGACAGAGCATTAATAAAAAGGGCTAATCGCAACTTGCACCCCAAAAGAACACTCGAATATCAATTTACACCCTCAAAGTTTCAAAATATCAATTTGCATCTTGAATGACATAGATTTGTATCAATGTGCACCTGAGACTGACTTTCGTCCATTTTATCATTAAAAAAAGTTTGGGTTAGTTAAAATATTTAACGTTTATGATCCAAAAAAAATTACATTAATTAATACTCATTAAATAACTCTCAATTGTATCATGATCTAATATTTTCATGTCGTGTTCGCGTTATTAAAAAAATATTTACGACACGACACAATTGAGAACTATTTAACGAGTATTAATAGATGAAATTTTTTTTGAATCATATCTGTGAAATATTTAAATTAGCCTAAATTTTTTTAACAGCAAAATAGACAAAAGTTAGTGCCAGGTACACATTGATACGAATTTATGTCTTTTAGGGTGCAAATTGATATTTTGAAACTTTGAGGATATAAATTGAGATTCGAGTGATCTTTCGGAGTATAAGTTGCGATTAGCCCTAATAAAAAAAGAAGGAAGCTGCAGACAAAAATGAAAAATACCTGATTCAGGACATAATAAACAGTAAAGCGGTTGGGAAATTTACTGGCAAAACTATCTAGCTCTTCCTGCAAAGATACAATTCAATAAGGATTACTTAACATGTCAGACACCAGTCCTCATCATGAACTTATGCTCCTTTAACAATAGTCTTCAATTTCTTAAAAATGTTTTGCAATGGTTTCACACCCTTCTAAACTCTAGCTCCTCAAGTCTAGTTTCTAATTACTTAAAAATATCTCGTAATGGTTTCACTTTCACATCCTTGTAAACTCCAGCCAATTAAGTCCTCCAAAGCACCCCCACCCCCCACGCATCCACCCACACAAATTTTCCAATATATTCCTCTGTATAATGTATACATGAATATAATTCCTATGATACTTAAGGTTGCCTCCACCACCTGCAAAAAAATATTAATTTCTAAAATTAGGACAAGCATTTTCTCTTTTTAAGTTAGATTACATGTCCCATTGAGAAGATCCCAATAATAACCAAAATATTTGAACACCCATCGACTCTAGTTAAATTGGAGCTTATGGATATAAGAACTAGTGAAAAAATCATTCTAATATAATACAAGGCTTCGGTTGATTCAAAAAATAGTTTTGTCAATTCTATAAATGTTTATTTTGTACCCCCGCCCCCCAAAAATAAAGAACAAGGAAAAGTTCCTAACTTCATCTGTATATACATTTAAGCTAATTAACAATGTCTTCTACGATCAGCAAATGCAGAAAATTTGAAAAACACAAAGTTACAAAATTCAGAATGACTAGGTGCATTATATACAAACTATGCCTATTTGGCTGTCAATACTATGTCACGCAGTGTTATTGGTTAACACATAAATGACTGGATGAAACCAAGAAAGAATCTCTCATGTGCAAATTTATAGAAGATCTCCTTTAAGATCAAACAATTCTAGCGAATTTGAGTATGATTGTATGTGTGATAGTATCTATTATACCAAGAATATCAATGAACCCGATTATTGCCATTGCTCAGGATACCATTTTTTGGCTTCTAGGGTCTATTTTTTAGTTCAAGATCGCTCTTACTAACTGGAATCAAAAAATTAGTTAATCTATTCCGCCCAAAATGGGTACTATCGGGTCAGGTGAGTTTTTTTTTCTCTGTAGCAATAACTTTGATGCAGGACAGCCTCAGAAAAAAAAATAAGACCAGGTGGACAGTCTTAAAAGGGCAGGTGCTGGTAAACACGGATTTTCAGGGAAGAGTTTGAGAAAGAAAGAAAGCAGCACTTACAGAAGAAAGTGCTAGGGTAGAAGACGGAGAATTTAGGAAGAACAAAAAAGGAGAATGAAAGAGATGATTTACCTAGGCACCTCCTAGGATTTGCACCACTAATAACCCCAACACAAAATTTTTGTAATTTATTCGAAAACAGCCTAATGAGGGGCATCCCAAATGAATGAAGCTCCTACCGCTGTGGGAGTGAGTGGGTTAGATGTCTGCAACTTTAACCATGCCGAAAGATTGTTTTCGTGACTCGAATCTTTGATGGCTAAGTCACAATGAAGCAACCTTACTGTTGTGTCAAGGCCCACCCTCTGATAATAATATACTGATGATTTCTAATATTACATCATCATCATCTGAAAAAGGCATCTCAACCCTACAAGTCTACAACATCTCTTCACAAAAGATTTCCTTTGGTTAATTATTCACAATGAAGATTAACTAATCAGACTTCAATAAAAATTCTTCTCAACAAAGCCAGTTCGCTAGACCTAACTCTACACCAGCACAAGCACACTTCTTAACTAAATTTCTCATATTCCATTTCAATAGCATGTATTTTTTTTTACCTAATTTGTCTGATGGATATAATTTTAAACTAATACCAATACTTACAAGCAGAAAAGACAATTCATCAAATTGAAATTATGGGTCAGTAACACAAGATCTTAACAATGCTTCAACACGTCAACCATTCACCTCTAATTGATAGTTTACCATGCCATGAGAGGCCAACTCATGACAATTTTTAGTGAGTGGAGAGCTCAAACTAAGCATGAATGGCCCTCATCTTTTGATTTGGGATACAAGTTCTAGGAACCGGGCCTGGCCATCCTTCGTTTGTGCTCGACGTTCCGGCAAAGTTTTGTACGCCCTCTCTCCCATGGAATTCCGGCTCACACGTGGACTAACAAACATGCATACTGGTAAGATCAAATGGGTGAGAGACTTGACTTACTAACCACCAAGGGCCTACCTGTAATACCATCTTAGAGGCATCCAACTCAACCAATTGACAATGAGTGGAGAGACGCCTCAACCATATAAACCAATTGTCGTGGCCCTAATATTTCAATGTTAGATAGCATTTTAATTTTTAATAAAGGGCGGAACTTGAAAAGCAATGCGAGCATATCAGTTGGGCATTTCTTGTTTGCCCATATAAGCTGCTGCTTCATTTTCGTTCAGGTTTACTGGCACTGTAGCTTGCACCATCCTCAAGCATTAATCGTAAAGATCGTAAAGATATACATACGACTGATAATGTTTGTGAATGGTTACCAAATTCAAGGAAGATGCAGTTGACTGTATTCTAGTGACAAATAGGGCAGTAGAATGTATAAGCATTTCTATTGCGCTCAAGTATATGGATTCTTTGGGGTAGTGCAGAAACTGCAGGTGACACAAAAACAGTTGTACGAAGAGGTGCTCTGTACAAGCCGAGCCCAAAAATTGATTATCATCAAACATGGTAGACCCTGCAAACTTGCATGCCCTCTTAATCCCTCCCAATCCAGAAAACACAACACAGTATTGTCCTAAGGTTCGGTCAGCCCTCAGGTTTGTACACAATTTAAGGATGCTTTTTCTTCCTTTTAGCATTGAATCAAATTATGTGTTCATGCAACATAGCATCTACAAGAATACTTCAGTCACTTAACATATTACATGTAGGCGAAAATATATATTATCTCATTAAGCTATTCAAAAATGACAGTTTATTCTCCTTCTCCATTCTTGTCATTTCCACTATGCGAAATAATGGTAAGAACTAGTAATGACACGAGTCAGAGTCTGAGGGCAGCCATTTGTGCAGATAATGCTAATGGTTAGGCCAGCACACAGCTTATCCTCCCACTCGATATAGGTGGGACCATCCCTAAGTGGGCTTCACATTTGCCAAGGAAAACCACACAAATAACTTCCAAGCAAACTACTAATTCACTTGTCACTGCATATGGGCATAGAGAGAGAGAGAGAGCAAGAAGTACCTTCAAAAGAATGTCTTCATATGTGACGTTGGCATAAATAAGATGCACATTGGTTTTGTCACTCGGGTTTTCTAGTATGGCTCTAGTAACCTAGCAAAACCAGAAAGATAAATATATGAGCAATTACGTAACTCATAATAATAATAATGTTGAAGCTAGCATACATACCTGGAACATAGGAGTAATACCACTACCTCCAGCAAGCATCCCAAAAGCCCTAACTTGGCCAGGTTGATACTTGAATCGCCCCTAGCACCAATACATTATGTGAATCAGCTATGGGAAAATCAGTTAAACTGTGCTTTGGGACTCTGAGTTTATGTTTGAAAGGTTGACCAGTCAGAAAAAGGAAATAAAGAATCATTGTTCCTTTCTGAATTTTGTTTGATATTCAAGAAGAACCATATAATGAAGCTCAATATCACACTAGATTGCTACTCATGCTCATAGACGATAACACTGTTTCAAGTGTTTCTTACAACTAAAAAGGAAAGAAAAGATTCCCATAGATTCAAAACTAGAGAACACCGCGTGAACTCTCTAGTCAAACTTGTAGAATTTCTTAACTAGAAACTTTTTACAAAAACTCATTGAAGTACTTGGGATATTTGTGATGGCTACACTTGTACCTTGGGCCCCTTCACAGCCAGATAATCACCTTCGCGCATCTCCCGAAAATGGTGGGACATCCTTCCTTGGGGATACATCTAGTCAACCCAAAAGAATACAAAACCCGATCAAGTGGGATAAAAAATTTAAAGTAACCAAGGCAATATTAAAATAACCAACAGAACATTTCAGACTACCTATACCTTTATAACTAGTTCAAAATATCCAACATCTGAATCTAAAGTTGTTGGAGTGTATGGTTTGATAACTTCTTCACCCTGACTATCCTTTCCTCTGTTTTAGAGAATGACATAGATAAGAATGATGTCTCGTGCTAAGCTTTTATGAAACCCATTACAGTAATAACATGAGCAGTTATATGGATGGACCCTTAGAAATTATACTGACAAAAAAAATGAACAGCCAAATCATACCTGCAACTAATATGCTGTCCAATTGGAAGCCCCAACACTGATGTTGGTGTTGGTAGGGCAAATCTAAACTTGGCCACATTATGGCTGAGCTGAGTACGCTTGACAAGCTTGAATTCCTTAAAATTTTCAGGGTCCAAGCAACCTGTCAAGACATATGACAGTCATGCCCACAATAAACAGGTTTAGTCTGTTAAAGCAAATCAGCAAAAACTCTGGCCATTAATTGAATAATAAACTGTCCTACAAAACAGTGAATGTGAAAAATACCACCATAAAAAAATAAAAATAGGAAAAAAATCTGAATAGGAAGCTCTATAACCCACATGTAGAATGCAAGGATGGCCCATCACTCAAATAATCCAGAAGTATTAAGATTGAAATTAAGACAATCAACTCCACATAATTTCAATAACTAGCTGTCCTAGATGGTGATATAACTAAAGAAGGTCATATTACCATTCAGCGATAGTGCAAAGAGGGGTTAAATAGATCATTTACCATTCTTAGTTTGTGAGGTATAAAATCGTAACATGACAATATAATACACTTTGGCAGTATTAAAATACCACAGCTAGTATTAAAATTGGCTTAATAGTATGAATAAATGATATTAAAGTTTTATATATGGTATATGAAACTGATATAAATCTATAAGCAGTATGCAGTAATTTTTGAAATTCAAACATAGTATAAACTAAGATTATAGAGTTTTAATCCAATATGTCTTTTTAATCCCCTACCTAATACTACAACCAAACGAGCCCATAGTAGCTTATCCCGAGATAGAGTACCCATATAGACATCTAAATTAAGGTATGTAGGTTTCTAACATCCATCCCTTATTGAAGTCCTTGCCACCAATCTCATTCTCTATTTATCTTGTTATCCTCAAAATCACAAACACCTATAATTTTCCAGATAACCACATCTCTTCATTACAAAAAACAAGGTCAACATTTTGTAAAACTATGGCAGAAAGCTCTCTCGTCTTGAAAAGGGATAATGCTTCCACTGTTGTTCTCCTTGGTTTGCATAATTTATGAACTTCATCTAGTGTACGAGTTCAGTGCTAATATATGATATTTTGGCTCCATTTTAAACATACAAAAAAAATTCAATATAGTAAATTCATCTTTCAAATCAGAAACTTTCCTTACTTTGTTTAAACTGGCCCATGGTGTAATCTACTTTCTAGTTTCCCTCGGCACTCACAAGTCACAAGAGGATTGCAACCTTCTGCTTTAGCACGTTCCCTATCTGACATGTACAATTTCTTTCTGTTGATCTACATACATTTGCTATCTTTATCAGTCTATATAAGATTGAATGCTGATCAAAAAGGTTTCCTGAATTTTATAATGGGGGCAAGACAAGACAAAAAGTCCAAATGGGAATAACTATGTCTTAACCATCTTCATAGAGATGTTTCTGGAATCCATTTTTGCTGGACATTTTGGAAGAAAAAAGAAATTTTACAATGGAAAAAAAAGCTAGGTCCGCCAACAAAAATACTACTCTTTTGAACTTGTGCAAGATATTAATTCTCTACTGATTGATCAACTACTCAAATTCATCACTTCTGCATCTAGTAAGTTGACTGTCTAAGCATGAAAAATGAATTGCGTTAATAGCAGTTAATATCTCTAACAAGTTCAATTCCATCTGCATAATCCAACTAGAAATCCCTATCATCCGTTCATATTTTACGGGTTTCACGCATATGATTTCCTCCTCATGCAATAGGACAATACGGAAAGCAACAAATATGCAAGTCGCATTTTACATAGCAACTTGAGAAAAGTTTTCTTGTATGTGAAAGTACCATGCAGAAAGTGCAGCAAGGTTGCAGCTGGCAATGCACCAAAAATAACCTTCCAAATGGAAAAGTTGAAGAAACAAAACTGACCCCGTGGGGGTTCCAACATTGCTTCCTACCTATTGCTAACAAAATGAAAGACATAAGCACCTACAGTTGTCTAATGTGCACAGGAAGAAAAACCATACACTTCTCTACATTGCAGCATTGTGTTGCTCGGTAACTTGAGCAACATGGCTCCTTTCAAAGTACCAGGCGATTGATATGGCCTAACCATGATTTTTTGTGGATGGAAATTGCTAATTTTTTTGGGTCCACAATGTGTAATTTGGACATTTTTAAACAAAATCATGCTGCCATATTCCAACTTTGCTAACATGAAGGAGTCTATGAGTTACACAGTCACAAACCTTACGGGCTATCAGTGTAAATTGTTGAAAGTGAATTTTATGACGAACCTAAGGAGATCTGTATGTAATTCACACTAACTAGAATTACCATAGTTCACAACATTCTTAGAACTGAAGATGAGAAATTACAACAACAATTAGAGAATGGAATCATGCAATACTCCTTTCACGTCAAAAATTCCCCATGTGACCCCTGATGAAATTCTTACGAAACACAAGGCTATGTAGATGGTATTCTTACTCAAATAAAATCAACCAAAAAAAATAGCAACATCTCCAACCCCGCAGTGGTGAGACTCTCGTGCACCGGACCGCCTTTTTATTCTCCAATCGAAGAAAAATTTAAATGGAACTTCTTTCCACAAACTCAATTTTTCAGCCAACCAAGCTTTACTATATTTTGAGGATTTCAAGCAAATTAAAAGAATACATACCATGAGATTGGAGTTCCCTTTTCAAAAATCTTACTCATCAAAGCTGCATATTATAAATGTAACAACTTGGGAACAAGATGCATGTCTATGTTGTTTGAATAAAAAAGCAAAGCCCAACGAGCTTTTAATGGCCTCTTTACCATTATTTCAGCGCTAGTAATGTTTTGCACATAATAAGATTGAGATCCCCTCCAATACACTTTATCTTCAATTCCCTTCTTGACACATCATTTACCATCCATTCTTTTTTTTTAAAAAACATTTACCATCCATTCAAGTGGGTCCCTCCCTCATCAATGAGTCTCCAACTCAATAATAACGGTGGATGACGTGCCAAGAATGGAATTGAAAGAAAAGTGTATTGACGGAGATTTGGATCCCACATAATACATCTTCGAACCTCAAAGCAAAATCTCGTCTTAATTTCCTAATATAGCAAAATATGCTAAACTTCTTGGCATTAGTGGTACTTTAAAAATAATGGAATCTTGAGCTTGAGGGTATTTTTCATAGAGAAAATTTCGGCCACATTAATGAACTGTTAAAATCAAAAAACAAAACTCAAATTTCAACTGAAGTTTTACAACACCGGTTCTTGCCCTCAAATGAGTTTAAATGCACATATGATTTGCTATCTCTCACTGGGGCATCAACCGAGTTACATTCCAACTGGAATCCGATCCTCTCATCTATAAAATTTTCTCAATTCCAGATCATATATCGAGAATTAAAGATGGATCCATTGTGTTCAAGTGAATACTCCTCCGGTATCAGATTTCCTTTAGAGCCATGACTGATCAAATTCAAATGGGTCCCCTCAAAACAAAGTGGCCATATAGAATGGAGAGCATCAAATGTGAAAAGTACCCTAATCCATTCTATTTGAACCATACCAACTAAATATGAGCTACCCATCTTTCCCAGTAGTGAATAGAACATCATAGCATTGTTTTCGGCGATGTCAAATCTTAAATAACAAAAAAAAAAAAAAAATCGACCCAATAAGTGAGAGAAACAGACATACGCAGGTAGTCATCAATATATATATGTAGAGAGAGAGAGAGAGAGGACGTGTATAACCTCTGGGTTTGTTATTGATGTAGAAGTAATAGGCAGTGGCTGCACCAACAGTAACGAGAGCAACGACTATGCCCACCACCGTGTCCAGATTGTGCGATTCCAACAACATTTTGCTTTACTTCAATTCGTTCAATACAGTAGGGTCAATTTGCGCTCTCTCTCTCTCTCTCAGATAAGGAATAAACGTTTAAATAGGATTGAAAACTTGGTCGAAATCAATTTTTATTTAAATTTAAATTTGCGCTCTCTCTCTGTCTCTCAGTCGAAATCAATTTAAATTTGGCTTTAAAAATTGAAAATGTTCTTAACATTTCCAACCTTACTCAAATTTTTATTTAAATTTAAGTAAAAAATTTAATTTAAAATATGAATATTAAATTTTTTAAAAAAAATAAAATTTAACTATTAGTAATTTAAGTAAAGGTTTCAATATCCCTTAATTTAGATAAAACTTCGAGTCTCTTAATTTGTTATGAATTTGGGTATAAAATTGAATAACGACCTAAATTTAAATTTTAGCCTAAAAAAATTTAAAATTTAAAAATTAAAAATAATTTAAATTTAAGTTATTGAAGATGCTTTAACTTAAAACAAAAGTTTGATGGATGTGTGGTAATAAATGTTGCTTTACGCCACGTCAATATTCACAGGTGCATAAAATCATTTTCAATAATTTTCCATGTAAGATAATAAGTATTTAAGCAGGACCGACCAAAACACTTAAAATGTCTGTTTAGGGCCCAAAAAAACAGGGGGTCCAAATTATATAGATATTGCAGTTATACAACTTGTTAAATGTGGCCCAATACCATTTTATGATAAAAAAAAGGCTCAAATTGACTTTTTCGGATGTGTTTGTTGACCTAAATGCAACGCTTAAAATGAATGTATTCGACACTTATTAATTAAGTTCGTTTGATAATTAAAATTTAAATTTTTTTAATATATTAAATGCTCCTTAAAAATAGGCTACAATATTAAGTAGGATATATCTTACTTAATTTTGAAAATTAAAAACACTCAGCAAAACTATTTTTAATAATATTTATAATATAATAATTATATCCCGAAATATTTTATAATCCTATTAAAATTCTAATTAGTCTTATTTCCAAAACCTCTAACCTATCTATCCTCTTTGCCAACTCTTCTTCGACGGGTGACAAACAAATCTTCTCCCTTNCATCAATATATATATGTAGAGAGAGAGAGAGAGAGGACGTGTATAACCTCTGGGTTTGTTATTGATGTAGAAGTAATAGGCAGTGGCTGCACCAACAGTAACGAGAGCAACGACTATGCCCACCACCGTGTCCAGATTGTGCGATTCCAACAACATTTTGCTTTACTTCAATTCGTTCAATACAGTAGGGTCAATTTGCGCTCTCTCTCTCTCTCTCAGATAAGGAATAAACGTTTAAATAGGATTGAAAACTTGGTCGAAATCAATTTTTATTTAAATTTAAATTTGCGCTCTCTCTCTGTCTCTCAGTCGAAATCAATTTAAATTTGGCTTTAAAAATTGAAAATGTTCTTAACATTTCCAACCTTACTCAAATTTTTATTTAAATTTAAGTAAAAAATTTAATTTAAAATATGAATATTAAATTTTTTAAAAAAAATAAAATTTAACTATTAGTAATTTAAGTAAAGGTTTCAATATCCCTTAATTTAGATAAAACTTCGAGTCTCTTAATTTGTTATGAATTTGGGTATAAAATTGAATAACGACCTAAATTTAAATTTTAGCCTAAAAAAATTTAAAATTTAAAAATTAAAAATAATTTAAATTTAAGTTATTGAAGATGCTTTAACTTAAAACAAAAGTTTGATGGATGTGTGGTAATAAATGTTGCTTTACGCCACGTCAATATTCACAGGTGCATAAAATCATTTTCAATAATTTTCCATGTAAGATAATAAGTATTTAAGCAGGACCGACCAAAACACTTAAAATGTCTGTTTAGGGCCCAAAAAAACAGGGGGTCCAAATTATATAGATATTGCAGTTATACAACTTGTTAAATGTGGCCCAATACCATTTTATGATAAAAAAAAGGCTCAAATTGACTTTTTCGGATGTGTTTGTTGACCTAAATGCAACGCTTAAAATGAATGTATTCGACACTTATTAATTAAGTTCGTTTGATAATTAAAATTTAAATTTTTTTAATATATTAAATGCTCCTTAAAAATAGGCTACAATATTAAGTAGGATATATCTTACTTAATTTTGAAAATTAAAAACACTCAGCAAAACTATTTTTAATAATATTTATAATATAATAATTATATCCCGAAATATTTTATAATCCTATTAAAATTCTAATTAGTCTTATTTCCAAAACCTCTAACCTATCTATCCTCTTTGCCAACTCTTCTTCGACGGGTGACAAACAAATCTTCTCCCTTAGCTTATTCATTTTTTTTTCCCCTACTCTTGTTTTTTGCAACAAAAATATACATAATACATAATTATACATAACACAATTACACACACATGCACTACACTGCACACACACACAGTGAGATATTAGTTATTGTTATTGTTTTTTTAATCAGATGTTATTATTCACTTATTGTGTTATTCAGATATTTTTATTTATTAATTTTGATCAGATGTTTGTTAAATGTAGACTACAATATTATAATAGTAATTATGATTTACGTTATGACATGTTTTATAAATATTTTCAAATTAAAGAGTGGAAGAGTAAAATTAGAAATTAATTTATTTTTAGACATATCTATATTACAATAATACATCATAGACTCTACATATACAAGTCCATCACCAATGGACCTTTAGTTAAATGATACTTTTTTTCTTCGTATATACGACTCCATCATTGATGGGTCTTTGGTTATATAATACTTCTTATTTTATAAAAATTTTATTTTATTGAGGTCAAGAATTCAAAATCCCCTCCCCCACTTTAAAAAAAAAAAAAAAAAGTCCATCACATATATGTCTTTTCTTGTTTTACACGCCCAAAATTTCTCTCTCTTCTTGTGTTACACGCCCAATTTCTCTCTCTCTTCTTGTGTTACACGCCCAAATTCTCTCTCTCTCTCTTATCTTCTTAGTTAACACACCCCAAAAATAATTCTAACAAATAAATTAAAATAAACCTTCCCTATCCTATGTTATGCCCCCTCTCTCTCTAGTGTGTACATATTATTTTTTTTATGACTAGTTAAATTTATTGGAATTTTATTTTATTTTTTTAATTAATGGATTTTTAATTTTTTATTCATATGAATGTTATTTGATCTAACCAAATGTTTTTTTGTGAAGGTTGTTTTACTATTCAATTTAGAAGACAAATAAATCTCATATAGAATCTCTTACTAATTACGTGTTATTGTTCTATACTTATTGATTTTTGTAGTATAATAGTTTTTTTTAATCTTTGAGTGCTTTTCATTATTTTAAGATTTTATTATGTCAAAAAAGATTATCTAATCTAAAATATGTCATCGAGAAGATATGATTCGGGATGTAAGAAATGAAGAAAGAAAAACAAATGAATTTATTCAATCTCAAAAAGGTGTACCCGATAAATATATTAAAAAAAAATGTGACAACTTCAATTGAAGTTTTTGTAGTTGAACAATCAATTCCTATAAGGGATTATGAAAATAATGAAATAACTATAAAAAAAAGATAACAATGAGAATCAAGTGACTGTTGATAAAATTGAGACAAACAAAGAAGACAAGACTCACAACAAAATTGTGGATTCTATTCTCATAAATATTTTATGATCTAGACATTGGATTCTATTTGCGACAGACATGACTAACTTTTGTTGTAAAACGGTCTTTTTTTAAGTTGTGCAACTTATACATACTTTATTTTATTCGTCAGTAAAACGATAAAAATTTAACTTGATCATGTGACTAATTTAACTATTAAATCATTGTCACAAATACGTTTAGAAAGTCGAATCGAAAGAGATAAGGTCATAAGATTCTAGGCCCCCACAAATAAGAAATACCTTGCTCCAATTAGCAAACATTAGTGAAGATTCCAAAATATGTAGGGAAGCTAAATGGTTAGCAATATATTTGATCAAAAATTTTGAGTTCTTATCAGGGATGACTATTTTGTATGATATATTATTTACTATAAACTCTTTTAGTAAAAACTTACAATGTTGATGTTGTCACAGATTAATTATATGGTATTATTTCATTTTTGAAAAAATATAGAGAAAATTGATTTACATCTTCTTTGATTTCATCTAAAGAAATTGCAATGGAGATGAAAATAGATCTTCTATTTTGTGCAAAACGTATATCTTAGATCATATATTTGTAATTGACTGATTTTGTGAAATCCATTGTAAATCTCAATTTATTCCATAGTCACGATATTATAAAGATTGAAGTTTCAAAAACGTTATTGAAGAGAGGAGATCAAGTGTCAAAATTATATCATTTACACTCCGAATGTACTTTCAAACTTAGTTTAAGTGTTTTTCAATGAATTTAAGATGATCTCTTAGTTTAAGTGACTTAGGAGAATTAGAATACAATAGAATCAGGACAAATTCGTATAAGTGTTTTTCAATGAATTTTTTTAAAATTATTTTATGTTTTTGACGAGTTTAGATTTAGATCAGGCCTGGACCTAGTCCATGGGTTGAGCCCAAGTCATCAAAAAGTAGGCAGACCTATCTCATGGCCTCAACTAAAGAGTCCAAGAAGAGTCAACACATGTGAAAGAGTAATTATTGGGATAACCATTATTTTAGGGTATTTTTCATCTCCAACTGTAGCTATCCTCCCCAAAAGGCTAGTAGCGTGACCTTCACGTCATCGCCTTAGGTGGGCTCTGTGCTTATAAATTGTAAGCCCTCTACACATGAGGGAGAGACAATTATCTCTCACACAGAGGATACACACTTCACATTGAGTATACTCTTGCTCTCTCTTTCTCTCTCTTTTTACCTTGCATTCTCTTATTAATAAAGTTTCCCGACTACCGTTGCTGCCTTCAAAGTGGAGTAGGTCACCTTGACCGAATAATCACTCTATATCTGTGTGTTACATGTGTTGAACTAATCTTTATATTTACTACATTTATTACCTATATTAATTACT